AAGCTTTTAGGTGCGTTTACAGACTTCAAGAGTTTGTGCATAAGTTAATTTAATTGGCCAGAATCATAATTTATTCTGGCCACTGAAATGAACAGTCAAGTGCTAAATGCGCCTAGCATTTAGAGGGCTTAGACGTGTTTAACGGCGTCAAACATTTTTTTTCTGCCAAATCTCTGCTGCTCTTAGACGCACTGGCAGTGTTTTTTTTTTTTCCTGCCTCTAAAAGCTGCTGCTACTAAATGCTGCTAAAAGCCTATGTGTGCATGGACACATAGGCTTACATGCAGGGGAGTACAGAGGCAAGAAAAAAAACAGATGCCTCTAGAAGGAGCTGCAAAAATGTCCCGTGTGCATGAGGCCTTAATTATAACTGGGCAGATCATGTATTTTGGTCCTTGGAGATTATAATATACCAGATTTCATATACCTGTTTAGCAACATGGTGCAATATATGAATTAAAATAGTTACCAGACTTTCCTTGGGGAACAGAGGACCAAAAAGAAGAGTAATGCTTCCAAGGACCAGATACCCAAGATAACAGGTAACCTTCTCTTGAAGAGGAGCATATCTTTAAAATGTCACAGACCTATAATCATGATTCTTTAATGGTTTACAAAGCAGTGATGTTTTCCCCCGGCCTGACTAATAGGCAGTTAGCAAATGTGATAAATTCAACTTATAGATCTGAAATCCCCTGCAGAGAAAAGAGCCTTAATAAACGAGTTGTGTGGAGTCAATCCTGTAAACTGATGGCATGTAATGCACAGTGAAAGTGTTCAGCGCTCATATCGCCTGCCTTTGGTGTGCCGAGAGCACTTTCACATAATTAGGTTAGTGCCGTGACATTAATGAGGTGTGAATAGATGTAATTACGCTTTCCATCTGGGATGAGGGGTTAAATCCAGCATTCCTGACTACTTCCAAATACTGGAGAAGAGATCATAGTTTTGTGATGTACTATATAATAGGATTCAATCACAACAGTACAGATTAATGTCTTGGTCCTGGCCTCACCTCATCCTCACGGTTGAGAAGCACCAGCTGGCTTTCAGTCAGGATGCAGTATTTCCTCTCCCATGTTGTGCATTCTGTATATGGAGACTGGCCACACGACAGCCTGTGAGTGGGGGGTCCTTTCACATCTACAAACACAGGAGGAAGAGGAAAAAAGTCAGCATGAGTGCAGTAAACCAGCACAAGCTTAGTGTACAGAGAACAGGCACTTCAGTTTAAACTGCATTAATGAAAAACAGATTTGAATAGTATAACAGTTTCCAAAAGTCCAATAAACATTTTGTTTCAGTGATGAACATAATTTATGTTTCATTACTGACCAGATAAATATGAATTAGACAATGTTTAACACGTGCAGCTCAACACTTGAGAACAGTAATAGAGCAGCAGTTGTACCTCTACACCTGTTTCAGCAAAAAACACAAGAAGAGCTTAAATTCCAAGACCGCGGAGTAAGTCGTAGAGGAGTGACACAACCCCTCCGTCTCTGCAATTACACACAGGACCATCTGGATCACTTACACACATGCTCAAGCAGGTAGGCAAAAGTGGGTCTAAAGCCTTAATGTTTTTTACCCTAATGCATTCTATGCATTAAGATTAAAAATCTTCTGCTGTAGAGGATCACCCCCTGCCGCCTTATACTTACCTGAGCCTGATCTCGATCCAGTGATGTGTACAAGAGCAGCCACTCTCCTGGCTCTGTTCCTCCTCACTGGGCAGAGAGGCAAAAGCTGAAACCATTGGCTCCCACTCCTGCCAATCAAATCCTATGACAAGGAAGCTGGGATCGATAGTGAGCTGGCACTTCCTATGGTAGCACACAAAGAAGAGGAGCCAAGAGTGGGGGAGACCTGAGAAGAAGAGGATAGGGGCGTCTCTGTGTAAAACCATTACACTCAGCAAGTATAACATGTTTGTTATTTTAACTTTAAAAAAAATTAGAAGCTTTAATACCACTTTTAGTTGTCTTGTGCATGCTTTTTCCATGCTTTGTACAGTGAATGTAATAAATTACATATTTGTAAAGAGAAAAAAAAAAAAATAATTATATATATCTATATATATATCTATATATATATCTATATATATATATTTTACACACACACAAACACACATACACACGCACGAATATATAAAAATATATAAAGAACACATTTCTACTTTGGTAATGTGCAAGAAATTAGAAAGAAAGCTTAGCAAACCCTGTTCACGCCTGTGCAAAACAAAGAATCCTTTTAGAACAAATTAGGCAAATTCCTGCCAAGTCCCCATTTTGGAGACAGCGGTATCCAAACTCCAGCCTGGGGGCCGGATGGGGGCCCTTTTCTTGCCTTTATCTGGCCCTGACATTAACAATGGGACATAATTCCTCCGACTGACAATAACGATGAGGCACCATTTCTCCTACTGATATTAGTGATGGGACACTATTCCTCCCACTGACACGAATGATAGGGCACTATTACACCCACTGACACCAATGATGGAACGCAATTTCTCTAATACCAAAAATAGGGCATTGTTCACTACCAATGACATCAGGACATTTTCTACCCTCACTGGCCACATTCCGGCCCCTTCAAATTCTGAAGGACAGTAAACTGTCCCTTTGTTAAGAAAATTTGGAGACCCCTGATTTAGACAATTAAAATTTGTGTGCAAATGATTACTCAGTTTGTTTGGGTTTTTTAATTTGACTTTATATATATATTTTTTTTAATAAATGCAATGACTTATAAGTTGGATGAAAGGTTCAGTGTAGAGTAACACTTTTCATCATTAAATAATATACCTAAATTTGTATAAAAGTAAATACGTTGATTACATAATAGCAAACAGAGGGTTGCTAAGGAGGAAATAAGGATAGCAGGACATAGGAATTTGGTTCCAAAAGATAGGCTTTCCACAAAACAAGGAACAGCTGGGAGCTATGTATGGGTTAGGGTTGTAGAAGAGTCATTGAATGACATGGATTGGTTGTATTACTACATCTTTCAAGCAGTGCCCTTGTAGATGTAATTTTATTACTATGGATGACTGCCAGCAGAGGGAAGGATAAGAACAGGACTCACTTGTGAAGCACAACATAAAGGCTATAGTACAGTGTAATATCCAAAAATACGTAACTTCATTGGACTTCAAGGTACAGTCAGGGATAAATTAAGGCAGAACTTCAGGAATGATCTTTATTGCATACTTTCATTGGTTCAGCTTGGCACAATAGAAGTATGAATATCTCAAACCTGAAATTATTGTAGTAGTCGGCACTATTACAGTGATAGCCACAGTCTTCCAGGTCTGTCTTAAAAAGTTAAGGATCTCAAGGCTTCCTTTATTCATTATATGTTAAAAGTGAAGTGTGGGATAGCAAAATAAGCAATCATGCTCACTTAGGTCCACTGCTACATTTGTCCCCGCTGCCTCTAAGACCAAGAACTGATCGATCAAAGACCGCTGATCACTGACTTCTCAGCTTTCAGTGAGCATAGAAAGGAGACTGTGTCCCTGGCTCTCTGATCTGCCCCTCCAGCACTCATCTGGAGCACCGGGCTGTGGACGGGCAGCAGCAGCAGGTTCAAGCTCTCAGTGGCACACAGAAAGGCCAAGCCAACTGTCACTCAGGCATCTAAGTGAATCCCGAAATTAAAGTCGGAAACACTTCGGAGTCTGGACCAGCCGAGTGATGTCAGCTAACAGTGGACTTTAGCCCACAGTCGGTTGAACCTGGGTTCCTGGAGTGCAAAACTAAGTGCAATCCTGTGACACACAGGAGAAGTATGGCTAAAAGAGCTTTGGCCTACATCTTCTTTAATGCACTGACTATAAAGCTGGGTATGCACTGTTTTTGCTGTTCAACCAGTGGGCTCACAAACAAGGTGGATGGAGGAACCCCCTCCCTGCTGCTATGCTACTTTATCCTGACAATGGGAATCCATCAGAAGACACGGATTAGAACAGGTTTTCTAGCAGGACCATTCAACAGAAGCTCATTGTAGAGAGGGCTACACACAGATGGAAATTTGTGCGGTCCCTGCTGAACCAGAAGAATTTCGATCTGTGTGTACTCTGCTTAAGTCCGTCCCTGCAGTCTCTCCCGTATTTCCACATTGCCATATATTCAAAACAACAGAAGCTGCCTGTAATATCATTTCTATAAACCTGCTCCCAACAAAAAATTTAAACAGTAAGAAATAATATATATATATATATATATATATATATATATATATATATAGTTATATAATTATTTATTGAGGCATGCTGTTTAAATGGAAAGACCTCAGGGGTTCTCAATTCTGACTGCAAATCTGAACTTTTCACTTTGTTAAAGCGGAGCTCCAGTCCCCCTAATAAATTTTTGGTAAAAGCGGATCCACGATGACCTTTCAAATAACATTAACAATTGGAATAATTAATTAGTAAAAGCATTGTAATTACTTAGTAATTCTTAAACATTTACCATGATCTCGGAAACAGGCAGGCACCATGATGGCTGTGGGCATCTGAAGCCAGCAGGTATTTATTTCTGGAAATCGGTGCTGCTGGCTATCCCAGCATGCACCACTTGTTCTCGCGTCTGCACAGTACAGACAATGCTTGGCGTAACTTGCGTAGTACAGGTTGCCATAACAATGATGGGGACGGCTGAAGTTCCCACCCCCCTGCCCCCATCCGTCAACCTGTACATTTGCGTCATTTCTGGTTTCCAAGTCCCGCGATTACAGGAAACCAAAGGACTTCTGGCATACAGGAAACGACATCCCAGGAGACCTTACAAATCGCCTTACGTCGTCATCGCCTAGGCGGCCGGGACCGGAACTGCAGGCTTACAGTGGATTTAAAGATGTGTATATTAATAAAAAAAAAATATCCAACTTGTTCTTCATTTCACAGGGATAACATAATCAGGTAAAGTATGAAAAATGGGTGGAACTCCACTTTAAGTTCATTATCATAAATGTACAGAACAGGGGCGGACTGATCATTTGGAAACTCTGGCATTGCCCGAGGGCCCGGGGTCAGTAGGGGGCCCCATGAGATGCCCCTGGTACCTTTTTCATAGGCTTTTTTAAAATTTGGGCAAGAACACAGGGGCCCCATGATCCCCTATTGCCCGGGGGCCCCATGAGTTGTTAGTCCGCCCCTGGTACAGAATAAAGAGTATAAGTAAATGCAATCAAAAACTGCAAGAGAAAAAGTTATTTGCAGCAGCAGTGTATTTATTATTGTCCACTAGGTGTCAGTCAAACACCAAGCTAGAGCGCACCAAGTGCTGGAGGATCATACAGTGAGAACTATCCTGAGCATTACCCCCTGACAGCTGTGTACAGGCAGAGAGTTTAAAATAAATGCAAGAAAACGCTATGTCAATAAGCTAGACAATACACAGTATTACTGTGCAAAAACCTGGAAAATAAAATCAAACACCAGGATTACTTTAGAGATCTAAGAGTCATAACTGTTACATAAATGGTTTGATTCTTTATCCTGGAGGTTTCCATTCCACATTCCTGCTTCATCGTGTATACATTTCTATTTTGTTGGCTGATGAACATGGTTTTGTGCTTACGGCTGTCTCCAGGCTTCAACAACTTTCTATTGAAAGGTGACGCCAAAGACTTTCTATTGCTATGTCGAAAATGAAGTTGCTGATCTTTCCTAAATACTTTGGGTTTTATTTGAAAACGCTGCAATAAACATGTTAATAATGGAGCTATAGCAACAAAGTAATCTGTGTTATCACAAATACAACACCTCCTGTGCTCAGGGACCCAGATCAGTAGAGGGCCGATGGATCAATAGTATAAAGATGTATGAAAGTTCGTCCCAGACCGATCAAAGGTTGTGTAGCTCCGACACACAGCTGGGGAAGCTTGATACAAATTGTAGTGAAGAACAAACACAGTGCGCACAAACCTTGCGCATTAGCTCAGTAAACATTTAGTAAATTTATTGATTTAGGAGATATACTCACAAAAGTAGGAATAAAACAGGCATATAAAATCCAAAAGCACATCCTATGATAAGGAGACACATGCGAATCCCATCTGAAGAGGAAATGCTCAGAATGACGCTAGCGCGTTTCAAAGGGGGGTCCCCCCTTCATCAGAGCTGATGTCTATAAATTTCCTAAAACGTGTATACAAATCAGCGGGTGGAACAAGCCTGTATTTTAGTTACACAAAGCCACAGGTTTTCATTGTGCACCATTACGACCTTCTAGCCGCCGGCGTCCTGACAACCAATATCATCAGTTGCTAAGGAGGATGTCGGCTGCCTGCACAGCATCCTAGTTTGACCCCCTCCCCTGCCCCTCTCCATCAGTGCTGGGGTCACATTAGCTCAGTGATGGAGAAAAACTGAGGGAGAAGAGAAACATTGAATACTAGTCAGTACCAGTGTGCAAAAGTGTATTTACTTTGGAAGAATAAATCCCCTCTAATGTTGGGTGTCCTACATGTGTGGATGTTGCTGCGTTATATAGAACTATTAGAATAGTTTTTCACATTTTAGAATGTGGTGCCCTTTTAAAATTATGGACAGTCTAGAGGCACCCCATTTTAGAATGGGGTGCCTCAAGACTGTCCATTATTTTAAAGGGTGCCGCAGGATTGTCTATAATTTTAAAGGGTGCCTTGACCAAAAAAAGGTTGAGAAACATTGGAATAGTATTCCAATGTTTCTCTTCTCCCTCACTCTGCCAATTTGCCCCCATTACTGACAGAGAGAGGTAGGGGAGGGTCAAACAAGGATGCCATGCAGGCGACTGACATCCTCCATATCAACTGATGGCGTCATTGGTTGTTAGGATGCTAGCGGCTAGAAGGTTGTAGTGATGCACAATGGAAACCTGTGGCTTTGTGTAACTAAAAGGCAGGCTAGATCCATCCGCTGGCTTAGATACAGTTTTTGGGCAATGTTTAGGCAGTTTGCCGAGGCACCCCTGAAGAAACGTCAAGGCACCCTGGTTGAGAAAAGCTGCTGTAAACCAGAAGAGGCCTGCGGACCCATTCACACCAGTGTGTTTTGTGTGCTGCATTAAGGAAAAATCCTGCTTGCTGCATCATTTAATGCCCTTTCACGAAAATATATGTTATATAGCATTCAATAGTAACACGCCTAAAACACATGTAAAACATGCTTAAAAGGCACTGCAAATTTATGAAAAAGACCTTAGATGATGTGCCTGGCTACATGCCAATACTGTCCTCAAAAGAAACATATGGCCTACCAGGACTGATTTTAATCTGAAAAAGCTAGCTGTGTGTGTTTCGGTCTGCAATGCCTTCAGAATCATTGAATTGGGATATATGCACATCAGGAATTCTGACTTCAATGGCTGCATGCTTGTTTTTGATCCAAAACAAGCAATGACAACCTATTAACTTTGTCATATGACAGTTTTCTGTTAAAGGGTCATTCTACCTAAAAACAGTATTTCTATTATTCCCGTTGGGAGGAGTTCACCATTTGGCTTTTCATAACCTTTCAAATGCCATGGACATATTCCGGTTACAGCTTCTGTAGAGTAAAGTAGCAGAAGGCTAGATCCCCGGTTAGATTTCTGTCTGCATCCCTATTGCAGATTTTCCATTATTTCCTGTCTGGTAAGGTCACGGTCTGCTGGCTAGGAAGTGACAATACATTTCCCTAATGGAGCTGCAAATAGCAGTAAAAACCCAACAGGGTTTCTAATCCAAAACGATTTTGACTTAAAAAATGTCAAACCAACATTTCATATTTCTGAAATGTGCCCGCTGTTCCATGTACTTGTATGAAAAAGTATCCTGTTCTCTTTGTATTGCTTCGTTTCTGTGAAATCCCTGGAGTTCCTGCCAGTCCCTCTGCTTTTATTTATTTAAAAATGACTACACTAGGCACACAGGGTGGTCAGTTTGATAGCTGTGCTGGGAGCTAATCCAATGATCAGATTTGTTTTTAATCCAATGATCAGATTTGTGCTGACACGCCACTCCCTCCCTGCACAGCCATTCGCAGGGAAGATCAGTGTACTGCTGTTTCTCCTCCCCAGCTCTATGAGCTCCTTGCGCAGCTGAGAACAGAGGTTATGTGATAACTTATATAAAAGGGGAAACAAAAGGTATTGTTTTTTTTTTATAACCATACAGAAATATATTTTTCCTGTCATTTTTATTTTAAACTGAATGGGTTGTGAGGGTTTACATAGACTTTAACACACTACAATTTTTCTAGCCTCTATTCAAAGCTATAATTTCAGATTTTTGCAGACTGACCCTTTAAACACAGTTTGATCTGAAGGATAGGGAGGATAACCTATGTCCTGTTCTCAGAGTGGCAATCAATAGGTTACAAATATCCAGCACAATCCCTGGTTGATAACTATGTCGGGACGGAGTAATAAATGAGTCAGTAAACTTCAGTGGGATGAGTAAGAGATGATGATGTCCACTGGTCTCCCATGGCAATAGACTGCAGGTCAAAGCCGCTCCCAGGCCAGTGCAGACACTTGGCTGTGCTTCTATTATCAGGGGATTTGGGAAAGTCTGAAAGGGGTTTAACCTGATCATGAGTTTATTGTACTGCATGCTGCTGGAATCTACAAATGAGCAGGAAATGAGTCACTGCAGAATATGAATCTTCAGTAAAGCCCAGAGGGAGATGGACCAGCTCCAGGACAGTGAAAGAAAAAACCTCCCTGATCAGATGGCATCACTCTGGCATGTGTGACAATGAGCTGTCATGTGCTACTGTGTGACTAAACTGCTTCCAGAAAACAATAAAAAAAAATTAAAAAAGCTCAGTAAAGTGTCAATCTGCTAGTATGAAAGAAGCCAATTAGAAGTTCCTTTTTCATCTGAAGTTTAGTTTTTGTAAATGTCAGGGTGTTCTGATTTCCACGACTGCTGGGAACCCATTCACTTTAGTCAACTCCCTGCGGTGTAATGTATGATGGAATCTGGGAGACGGAGACAATGATGTGGTGTCTCATTCAGGTTGTAGACCACCTAGCATAATTGAACCTACTTCCTGTGAGCCCGGTCCATCCTACAGGACCACTCTCTGCCTGTTCCCTATGGGACTAAAAACCACTCTCTGCCTGTTCCCTACGGGACTAAGGACCACTCTCTGCCTGTTCCCTATGGGACTAAAAACCACTCTCTGCCTGTTCCCTATGGGACTAAAAACCACTCTCTGCCTGTTCCCTACAGGACTAAGGACCACTCTCTGCCTGTTCCCTGTTACAGGACTAAGGACCACTCTCTGCCTGTTCCCTACAGGACTAAGGACCACTCTCTGCCTGTTCCCTACAGGACTAAGGACCACTCTCTGCCTGTTTCATATAGGACTAAAAACCACTTTCTGCCTGTTCCCTACAGGATAAGGACCACTCTCTGCCTGTTCCCTATAGGACTAAAAACACTCTCTGCCTGTTCCCTATAGGACTAAGGACCACTCACCATGTTCCCTACAGGACTAAGGACCACTCTCTGCCTGTTCCCTATAGGACCACTCTCTGCCTGTTCCCTAAGGACTAACCACTCTCTGCCTGTTCCCTACAGGACTAAGGAACACTCACCATGTGTTCCCTACAGGACTAAGGACCACTCTCTGCCTGTTCTCTACAGGACTAAGGACCACTCACTGCCTGTTCTCTACAGGACTAAGGACCACTCTCTGCCTGTTCCTCTACAGGACAAGGACCACTCTCTGCCTGTTCTCTACAGGACCTAAGGACCACTCTCTGCCTGTTCTCTACAGGACTAAGGACCACTCCCTGCCTGTTCTCTACAGGACTAAGGACCACTCTCTGCCTGTTCTCTACAGGACTAAGGACCACTTTCTGCCTGTTCTCTATAGGACTAAGGATGACTCTCCATTGCAACCGCAGGAGAAAAAAAGTGCTCATTGAAAGGCCAGCAGACAGCTTGGAAAAAAGGATGTATGCCGGAATATTTTTTTCACATGGTAAGGGGGGGGAAGGGGCTTTACATCCTGATCGCATGGGGTGCGACTTGGCATGCAATATGCATTCCATGCAACTTACAAATCATATGCCAAGTCGCACCCTATTGTTCGCAATTACAGCGGTCATATCAGTCCCATTCCGACTTGGTTGGAGCAGCACCGATTTCTATAGTAGTACATGCACTAGTTTTGGTGTGATTTGCATAGACATCTGTGTCAGATGTCTTGCAAATCGCACCTGAAATCAGCATGTCTCCGACTTTGAAATTGTGCAACTTCACTGTAAGTCGCACGATTTCAAAGTCGAGCTTGATGTGACCAGGGTGTTAATTGTTGCCCTGTTCATTTACCATTTGCGCTCTATTCAGCTGTCAGCACAGAAAGGAAACCTCTCTGCCACCATATAAAAGCACTGGGTGCCCCAGTTACCAAGGACCAGTACCACTGTGCATGTGGGAGTAAGGTGAGTGAGCCATACGTTCACCATACTCAGGAGCAGAGAATCTGTTACTTTGTTCAATGAGACTATACAAAGCTATGAGTGAACTGTAGAAGGTAAGAATCTGCGACTTGGAGAGCAGCAGTTAAGCAGATTTGATGCTTTGTCCTTTAAGGGCAAAGAAACGGCTTAAGCTGGCCATGGATGGATCGCAATTTGGCCGGTCCAGCAGGGACCCTCTGAATTTCAATCCACGCTTGGCCACTTCCACTTAACAGACGTTATTTAAACAACTGACTTCTGTCAAATGGGCTTGTTGGAAAATTTTTCTCATCAGCCAATGGTCAGTGTAATGTATTCAAAGAACAGCTGAGGAGTCCCACATACAATGGAATAGTGGAAAGGATTCCTCCATCCACCTCACTTGAGAGGATGGAGGAAACCACTTGTCAAGAGTCATCTATGGTCAGCCTAAGGCCTGGTCCACACCAATGCAGTTTGCTTTTGATCAGTTTTTGCATTTGCGTTTTTACTACATTTTGCTGTGTTTTTTTCTTTTTTCTTAAAGGGGAAATGTTTTTGTTGCTGGACAAAGTAAAAACACAAAACGTGGAAAAAACGCACTATAAGCATTTCAACAGCATCTCCACTGAACTCTATTGTAGTAAAAATGCTGCTTTTTGCATTTAAAAAAGTTCCTGACCCTTTCCAAAAATGCAGCTGCTCAAAAAAGCTTATATGTGTCTCATAGGACAACATGTAAAATGGCCTTTAGTGCGTTTGTGCAAAAAGCACATTGGTGTGAACCATGCCTAAAGCAGGCCCATACATGGTTCAAATTCCGAACGATTTTTTCGATCGAAACCAATTCGTTCATTGGTGCCACCAATGATTTTGAAAATTGGTAGTTTTTCACAAATTTTCCAGCATGCCCAATAAAAAAAATGGGGAAGAACCACAAAAATCAGCCCCACTAACAGAGTGAAAATCGGCTAATTATTCTTCGGTTCGATTTTCGAATAAAAAAATAATTCAAAAATCGACCCACGTATGGCCGGCCTTACACTGAATTAAGAGCAGTCAGTCTGGAATGATCATGTGTGATAATCTGAATCTCTACTCTTTATGACTTCCCTGAACATGACAGCAGTCAGTGTAGACCCAAACAGAAATAAAAACTTGACAGAAGTTCTAACCCACCTCTGTTTTGCCCAAAGCTTTAATGAAAGGGATGTGCACACAGCAGAAAGGTAACCTGTAACCCTTTCATTGCCAAGGTACTAGAAGCCTTGGCATGTCCTATGTCCTTCAGCCAGTACAGCAGCTTATTTTTCTATAGTTCATTTTACATACAGGCCACAAATATGAAACCAGAAACCTCAAAATTCAATTCTAAGGCCACGCCAATCACCCAGAGACAGTCACAGAACACTTTTCATGAACCTTCGTGCATTCCTTCATATAACATTTCATTATTGCGTTTCTAAAACATAATTTAGCTTAATGATAAAAGAACAGGTTCTTTTTTTCCCTCCATTAAATGCATAATCTATAGACAATACCACCTACTCAGGCACATTGAATACAGAAAGCACATTAATGTAGCAGAGCAATTACTGTCTGCTGGGAGGAAGTCTTGGGAAACATTTGCTCTCTGTGAACTGTATTTTTAGATATATCAAATAATTAAATATTGATGTCATTCATACCAGTGCGGCAAAGAAAAGGGGCTTTCATTTAAAGGAAAAATAATAGTTTTAGAGCAAAAGCAAAACTGCACCCACAAGGCAGAAACTGGGGGTGGACAAAGAAAAATTTCAGCACGGCCGGAGAAAGGGGATTTCATTCTCTGTAACCATTCAACAGCATTGAAAACTCCCGCTCACATGGCACAATGAGGCATTGACCACAGAAGATGGGTCCATTGCTGCTTAGCAGATCAGAGGTCGCACAAAGTCTCAGTTCATATGTTAATTTTGGAAAATATTGAACAGAAACAACTCTTTTCTCATCGACAAATGTGAGCTGGTCCAATTTACTGGTGAAAATATGCTAACAGGCCTTTGGTTCTAAAGCACTGTCATATAGTCCTAACATTCAAATTATAAATACTCACAAGGCTTTCTAGGACAATGGCACACATATGGTGGAGCTGCCCGAAAATACAGAATTACTGGAGGGATATAATCCAACTCAGGGGGGACTGACCATTCGGGTACTCAGGCACTGCCCGAGGGTCGAGGGTCAGTAGGGGGCCCCATGAGATGCCCCTGGTACCTTCCATAGGCTTTTTTGGGTGTGGTTTGAGTGTGGGCAAGGACACAGGGGCCCCATGATCCCCTATTGCCCGGGGGCCCCATGAGTTGTCAGTCTGCCCCTGATCCAACTTATTCAGGAAATATGTGAGATAACTCTTCAGAGAGAGCCATGGAAGTGCTTATTTTATTATTTTGACCCCCATTCAAATGACATAAAAATAAAGTATTGTACCACTTAATTAGCGAGGCAATGGGTTTGATTTCCATGTTTTGGCAGGTTCCTGAATGACCAAAAATTAGAGATTGGATAAATAGAGTGGAAGGTATCTATAGAATGGAGGAACTGTATCATATGGAAGAGGATAAAATGGAAAAATATAGGAAAACATGGTTTAGCTGGATGAAATTTAAAACCTCAGAAATATACATGGAATTGATTAGAGTAATGGGGGAAGTTTAGAAACTAGAAGAGAGTTTCAGTGGTAAATCTGAGAAAGAGAAGAATTTGATACAGACAGATAGGTATGAGAGAAGAACTAGATCGGGAAGGAGATTGTGGACAGAAGGACAGGGACAGGGGTAAATGACTGGGGTTAATGGATATATATGTGAAATAATTTTATAACTGAATTGATGTCCCTTTTGTATGAAAACCAAATAAGTTTAGTTTAAATTAAAAAAAAAAAAATGAAAAAAAGAAGGCTTTCTAGTACTGAGAAGCAGTAAAATGACAAACCATGTTAAGTGGTAAATGGTCACTTTGTTAGCTACACCTTTCAGTTTATTCATTTCAGGTACTTATATATTGCCGTCAATTTACGCAGCACTTTACATATATATATATTGTTCATTCACATCAGTCCCTAACCCTCAAGGGGTGTACAATCTAAGGTCCCTAACTCACATTCATACATACACATACCAGGGCCAATTTAGACAGAATCCAATTAACCTACCAGCATGTCTTTGGAGTGTGGGAGGAAACCGGAGTACCCAAAGGAAACCCACGCAAGCACAGGGAGAACATGCAAACTCCATGCAGGAGGTGCTATAGTCGGGAATCGAACCCATGACCCATTTACTGCAAGGCAGACATGTTAACCACTAAGTCACTGTGCCGCCCCAGGTAAAGCACGTACCCAAATAATAACTCATGCAAAACAAATTCATTATCAAGATTCTGCCTTTGTTCAACCAAACACTAGAATGCAGACGATGGATGATCTAAAGGACCTTGACCACAGAAGGATTAATGGCACCAGATGCGGTTGTTGCTGAATGACAGAATACACAGATATCCTTGGATTTTCAACCTCTAATCTAGAGTTTAGAGAAAACCAGGCAAAAATAGAAGAACACAGAGAGCTGTAATTCTGTGGGTGACAACAACAAGTCAACAAGAGAGGTCAAGGAAGTATGGCCAAGCTTGGTCAAATGAAAGGGTAGTCAAGGGGGCCGCTCACCGCACTTTGCAGTAGAGGTGCGGAGATGGACATCATGTCCAATATAGAACCTGGTCCGGGCTACAACAGAACACATTGAATTTCATTTTTTACTGCAAATAACAAGACACTGAAACTACAATGGACGTGATTCACCAACAGCAAACAACTGAAATGGGGGGGGGGGGGGCTGAGTTTCCTGGTCCAGGGAGTCTTGATTTCTGGTAGGCTCCATCCTCTCCTGCGCCAACAGTTCAGGCCGTCGGTTGTGGAATGAGTGTGTTAAATTTTCTTGGCACCTTAATACCAAGTCTGTGTTACTAAACCCAAGACCCTGCATTCTCTCTGTCTGGTCTCTCACAGTACACAGAACATGGAAATGCAATTATTCTAGTAAATATAAACTGCTAAATACCTTTTCTCATCAGCAGTTAGAGCGGTCTTGTGACTTTTGTCAGTGTCCAGCAGAGCACTGGTTAAAGCTTGTAGGAAGAGTTTTCTTTCTGCTCCAGGAGGATGAGGGATGTCATATTTGCACATGCACATAGTGGAACGGGAAGGAATGCCCCCTTCTCACACCTCACTGGAACACAGCTGAGGCTGTCAATCACAGACTGTGCCCTCCTGGTCACCATTTTTCTCTTGGTGTCAGGAAAGCTTGTCAGAAATTACTCCTGCTTATAGCAGAGAAATGAGGCAGTGGACAGAAATGACACTTAGTACTCTGGATTGAGATACGTACACACTATAGAGGGATATGCTTTGTTCATATTTCATTTTACAACCACTTTAGTACAAAATGAGTGCTGGTTAAAAATCAAAAAGATCATAAGTAAAACTTTTTTTTTTCCCTTTTTGAATAACGTGCGTCCTGGAAAAAAATGTAATGGCCTTTTCTCTGTGTTTAGCCATATCAAAATTTTAAAAAGACATGATCATGCAAGGTTGCACATCTGTAGGTTTGGGAAAAGGAAGTTTTAATGGACCAGGCTAAAATGATTGACAAAACCATGTGCAGAAGACCAACACAAGGATGAAAACAAGAGGCACTAAGGAGAGAGGCTGGATGTCTGTCTCTTAAATGACAGCTTTTTAAGGCTTAGCCAGAGTATATTTAAGTCCACCACAACCTTCATAATGCTGTTAAGGCTCCATGTACACGGAATGTTTGGAAAACATTTCTGAACCATGGAAACTGACTGCTGGAAAACATAGGTTAAAAAACGACTTTTTAGCCACGTTTATGAGCATTTGCGTTTAGAAGCGTTTTTAAAAGATAACCTCAGGAGACCTTCCAAAATGCCCAGAATGCACTGAAAAACAGTACAAAATTCACTATTTCAGACATTTTGAGAGAAATAGAGAAAGCAGAAGCAGAGAGAGCAGTATTTGTTGAGATTAGCTGTCTTTTTTTTGTGGTGTTTGGATGTGTTCCAGCTCATTTCTGTGCAGAAATTATTGCAGCAGTGTCTAATATATTTTCTTTCATGCGAAACCTCAAGGTATGGTGTACCGGGTCCATTTGTGTACCGGGAAAACGCTTTACATGCATTTTTCAGGATGATAAAATGCTCTGCTCTGGACACATCTGGAAATGGAAGAGTTAAAAAATTTTCCAAACACAAACACTTATAAACGCGGTAAGCTGTGTTTACAAGCGGTTGAAACACTGATAAAATCTACTCCTGAACGCAAGTTTGATGCGTTCAAATAAACAATTGTAAAATTCAACTGCCTGTAAACGACATAGTGTACATGGACACATAGGAAAACATTAGGGAGAGTTCAGGGGCTGCTGAAAAAAACGCAGAAACGCTCCTGAACGCGAGTTTATCATCTGCAATGTACATGAAGCCTTAAGAGTTACCATTAATATACAAGTTATTTCTCTAAAGGGTAATTAGCTGACATGTATGCGTCATGGTTTTATTTCTCTGTCAAAGCAGTCCCGGAAATGCCTCCTCCACGCAGTCCTTTAGATTTGCTGGCAAGTAAGAGACTGCTGTACAAATTGCACTTGCAGCCATTAAGGAAAATGTCATGTTAACCACACAAGACCACAGTGTCTGCCAAGTTAGTCGCTGCATGTTAACATTCATTAGCCTGGTACAAATGGCTTGTAAATGGGTCACATGACCTCAACCATTAGCGACATCTGACCTGCCGATCAGTAACAATGGAGCATTTTCAGGGACCGCTAACAGGAGCCTTTTAAAGTACCTTCTCGAAAGAGGGACAACGGAATACATAATATGATTTAATGTCTATCTAATCCATCCATAACTGCCTATTACAATGATGAAAGGAACCATTAGGACGCAGTATTACAAAGCACAATACCAGGGAATTGTTATTTCTTACAGAGAAAAGGACAGAAATAAAAGCAGGACATTTCTTCCAGTTCTGGCGTTCCTACATTTATTCTCTTACACTAATAAGCTTAGTGCCACCCAGTCAATCCAATCTACTGAAACACGCAATATACCGCACGTTGTACGACTGTGCGCTTGGTGAGAGAGGAGAGATTGTTCCTTTCTCCTACAGCAAAAAAGAAGATCAAAGATTGGTTATGTTAAAATCTCCATCATACCTGAAAACCTAAATGATTGGCCCATGGTAGTCACTAAACATCTGAAGACATGAAATAAATATGTGAGCGCTCAAAATATGGTATATCAGCAGCTGTACACTAGGGTAACCAAAATAAACCCCTTGAAAGATACAAGAATATATATAAAAAGTGCAGAGCTATGCAATAATAAATACTGTAAAATGATACTAAAGTAAATATTCACATAATATAATAAATTATAATAAAAGTTCATAAAATGATAAATAGGTGCCAGTGAGGTCCTGATGACTCAATTCGGTGATTGTGCTCTGGTGAACAGAAGAAATGCGCACTCACCGGATGCACAGTGATAATGCGCGTTTGTATAATATCCAGATGTCATCAGATAAAGTCATCAGGTGCAGGTAGGAAATGACTCCCTCTCAGCATAAATGGATCCAAAAGCCTTATGGGATGATCCAGGGGCGTCCAGAGCTCCCCTTAAGGGGATGGATGGGTGCAGATCTCAGGGGTTAGCAGGCTCCCTCTCTGGAGGCTAAGGGCTGGGCATCTGGAAAATCAGCACTCCGCTAAGGAGTCAAGATAAAACATGCCCATAGAGTAGTATGTTGTCAAACTCTTTTATTAGGAGTAAATAGCAGTAAACAGATGCATCCAAAGATAATCAATATCAAAATCAGAAGCCGGGACTAACGTCCACAAGAAAAGATGGCCGCTGGAGCTCCACGCTACTCCGACGGCGTGACGTCACGGCATAATTGGCTCCACTTACGCATTTCGTGCACGAGCACGTCCTCAGAGGGGATTGCCAATCATCTCTGGCCAAAAATCCAATGCTCCCCTTTTTCAATAAAAACCATTATTTCACTGCATTCACAGTGCACCGTAACATCAAGCCAAAGAAGAAGCCTCTTACCACTTGTTCTCGACTGTTTTATCTATACCCACCCCAATAACACACACAAAAAAAATTTATATAACCTGTTGAATTTGTCTAGGCCAGACTAGAAAAATGACAAAAAAAAATCATCTGAATGGATGCTACAGGCAATGCTCGACATGATCTCTGGGTTGAGCAGAGCCTACCTAGAGCACTACAGACGGTTCAGACAGAAGGCAAAGCAACAACATTCTAGATTAAAGACACAAGATTAACATCTCCAGCTCTCATTGGGGATGTTAGTGCCGGCTGCCTACAACATTCAAC